TGTGGTACTTTATACAACAATGGAATTAAAAAAAAATCTACATAAGCCTCCAATAATGCAATTAGGTCKAATGCGTAAAATAAAGTCTTCATAAGTTGTCAAAAAAACAGTGACAGGGCTTTGACGTGGCGCGTGCTGACCAAATAAAGAAAACAAATAATAATAATGATAATGATAATAATAAAACCTCCACATCACTTTTAGAAACACGCACTGAGCGTCTGAATGAGTGTCTGCAGTGCCCGTGGTGAGCAGAGCAACAGAGAGCCGACCTGCTGCAGTTGTGTGAGGGCGCCGCTGGGTGAGTCCTTCTCTCCGCCGCCTCGGTGTCCACAGCTCCCTTTTCCCAAAGAAAAGAAGAGGAGATCTAGGTCCGGGGGAGGAGGGCCGCCGCCATTATCGGGGGAAACGCTGACAGAAARCCCCTCACTTTCACTCGCACGGCAGCTCTCGCTCGCGAACACACCGGGACACGAACGATTTGTGCGCGAGCAGGAGCGTTTTTATCGGAGCGGAGGGCGATTCCGACTCAACTCGGCGTTGTCTCGTGCGCGCCGCCGGCCCAGCGTTATTATGTGGTCACAACAATGGACAGAATAATTATTGGAAACAGCAACGTGGTGAACCGAGAGGAAGACGAGTTTTAGAAGCAGACTTTCCCCCTTTCTTCTGTTTTTTCTTTTAATCCTCCTGAATTTCGCAGTCGGAATCAACACGAGATTTTTTTTTTAAAGGAGGAGGTTGATTATTCTATTGTTTTTTAAGGTTATTTATGAAGTGCTTGATTGCAACAATAAAACTGATAGAATCCAGCGATGGAGAGCCACTTCAGATGAGCCCATCGTTGTGATATTGGCGCAATCTGTGAATGGTTCCGACCCACAACAGCAGCATATATTCTGCAGCCTTTTTTCTTTTTTTTTTTCTTATTGCACATCAGGCTGCGGCAAGAAGAAGAGGAGCTGCTGGCCTGACAGATGCAGGAGGAGGAGAAAGGGGAGAAACGCGATGGTATGTATCCGACATGCTCTCTCCTCTTTTATTGGCTCTGTACGCCCAAGAAGACAACTGTGGACCTCTTTAATCACCCCGGGGTTTGTGTTGGTGTGCAGAAGGCAGGTCAGCCCAGATATCCCCCCCCCATCACACACCCAGCACCTCCCCCGGCGCTGCATTTCCATTATGTAGACAGCAGCAGCAGCAGTAGGCCTGGTGTGGTCAGCCCCTCTCCCTGYCCACCCTAAAGCCCATGTTCTCTGCTAATCCTGCATCCTTTCTGCTCCAAAGTGAGCAGGTCATACAAGGAAAGTGTTCATGCATGTCACATATGGAGCAGGTTTTTTTTTATTATTATTAATGTGTATGTACAGGATGAGAACTGCTGTGTTTGGGCCTCCTAAGTAGTTGGTTTAAAAAAAACCCTTAAAGATGAAGTATTTCCCTGCAGTGGTAATCATGTAAATATAACTGAGTTTTATTTTCAGTGGATTTAACTTRTGAGGTGACTCCTATATTAGCATCAGTGCTGCAGTGGAGGCAGTTATCAGTGCTTTAAAAATAGATGTGGTTGAACAGGTTCGTTGTCCATTTTAGTGGTGTTTTTTTTTCTTGTTTGTATTTTGTCTGTAGAGAATGTTTTGTTTAGTCTGAGAAAGTATTCAGTTTGACTTTGACAACAYGGTCATTTAAATGCTTGTCACTGCACTCACTGATCAGCTGATATCCTCACTTGAAGAGCACCACTCCCAACATGTTTGCTCTCAGATTTGCTCCTAGCCATTACAATCATTTGCAGAAAAAATACTCTTCAGGCTTGATTGTAGCTGTATGACGATAATAATAATAATAATAATAATAATAATA